GAATTGGATAGAGGAAAAATTGGATAAGGCTTTAATAACGAATGATTGGGGTCTACTCAATGGGAATTCAATGCTGGAAAATATTCGAACTCGGGCGTCGGATCACTCGATCCTATTCCTCAGTATTAATCCGATTTGCATGCCAAGGAAAAGGGGACCGCGAAAGTTCAGATTTGAAATGGCTTGGCTATTAGATGAGGGGTGCAAAGGAGTTGTAGAAACGGCCTGGCAAGAGGGGAGAACGGAGGGATTGCTGCACTGTCAGCAGTTGTGTGGAGAAAAGTTAATGCGGTGGGGTGGGGATCAGTTTCATAAGTTTGGAAAGCGAATTAACCACCTGCAGCAGAGGCAAGATGCCATACGGAATAGACGAGATTTGGTAGCTCTCGCTGAGTACCAACAGATTGAGAATACCATGAAACGAGTAGAGGCCTAGGAGGATGTGTTTTGGAGGCAGCGGGCCAAGCAACACTGGCTACGCGAGGCTGATGCGAATACAAAATTTTATCACAGGTATGCTTCTGCACGCCGGAAAAAGAATTTTATTTCTACTATTAAATGTGATGCTGGTAACTGGGTGGAGGGGGATGATATGCATGCTGTTATACATAATTACTTTGAAAATATTTTTGCCTCAAATGGACTGAGTTGCAATGATCCACTTTTTGGAGTCCTAACCCCACGAGTATCGTTGGAGCAGAATTTGATGCTAGACCGCCCTTTTGAAATTAATGAGGTTAAAGAGGCTCTTTTTTCAATGTATCCGGATAAGGCACCGGGGCCGGATGGGTTGAACCCGGGTTTTTACCAGCAGTTTTGGGAGATAGTGGGAGGAGATGTATCTGGTTTTATAATTAATGCCTTGAATTCCTGTGTATTCCCTGAAGGATTGAATGATACTAACATTGTCTTGATACCGAAGAAGGAGATGCCTGAGACGGTAGCAGATTTAAGGCCAATTGCATTGAGTAATGTCATTTACAGAATTATGGCCAAAATGATAGCTAATAGGATGAGAACATTAATGGGAGGATTGATCTCAGAATCCCAGAGTGCTTTTATCTCGGGAAGGCTAATCACGGACAACATCCTAGTGGCAGCGGAGGTGGGGCATTATCTGAATAGAAAGCAATGTGGTATAGTGGGATGGAGTGCATTAAAGCTAGATATGTCAAAGGCCTATGACAGAATGGAGTGGAACTTTCTAGAAAGAATGCTGACTGTTATGGGTTTTAGTGAGAAGTGGGTAAAGCTAATTGTGATGTGTGTAACGACCGTTAATTATACTGTAATGGTTAATGGTATAGAAGGGGGCAAGTGAAACCAACCAGGGGACTCAGGCAGGGAGACCCGCTCTCTCCGTATTTATTTATTATTTGTGCAGAGGCTCTCTCGATGATATTACAGTATGAACAGTTGGCAGGTTCAATACATGGGTGCAGAGTAGCAAGGGGGGCACCGCCTGTATCACACCTATTTTTTGCGGATGATAGTCTCCTATTTTTTAAAGCAAATATCCAGGAGGCATGAGTTATAAGGCAGTGTCTTGCAAGGTATGAGAAATTGTCAGGCCAGGTAGTGAATTATAATAAATCAAATATATGTTTTAGCAGAAATACCCAGGAGGCTGACAGGGCACAGGTGGCGAGTTGTCTGGGGGTGGTGCAAGCACCCAATTTTGGGAAATATCTGGGCCTGCCATCTTTTGTAGGGAGAAACAAGAGAGCTGTTTTTTCGTATGTGGAGGAAAAAATCAGGCAACGAATTGGTTCGTGGAGTAAAAAGCTACTCTCTCAGGCTGGTAAGGAAGTATTATTGAAAAGTGTAGCACAATCGCTGCCTACCTTTTCGATGAGTGTTTTTTTGTTACCTGAGACAGTTTGTCAGTCCATTGAGCGAACTATGAATAAATATTGGTGGGGCAGTGGAAGAGAAAGGGGAATACATTGGAAGGCATGGGACAGGTTGTGCATACCAAAAAAGTATGGTGGTATGGGTTTTAAAGAGCTAAGGGCTTTTAATATAGCAATGCTAGGTAAACAGGCATGACGATTTTTAATACACCCAGAAACACTCGTAGCCAAAATATATAAGGCAAGGTATTATCCCACAACTAGTTTTACAGATGCAACTATTGGTAATTGCCCGAGTTATTGTTGGAGAAGTATAATGGCAGCCCATGCAATGGTAGTCTCAGGGGTGCGAAGGAGGATTGGGAATGGACAGACAACCCTAATATGGGGGCACCCGTGGGTGCGAGATAATCCTAGCCCATTGATTCAAACAGAAATGCCACAGCAATTGAGAGAGGCGCAAGTTGCAGGACTAATTGATTTACAGACTCATACCTGGGATCCGCATATTTTGTCTGATTTATTTATTCCTGAAGATGTGGAGCGAATAAATATGATCCCTGTTAGTCCTGAGTATGAGGACTCATGGTACTGGATGAGTGACCCAAAGGGGACATATACAGTAAAGAATGCCTATAGGCATATTGTGGGAGATTATGAGAATAATCCAGCGAATTTTGATAAGTGGATTGCAATGTGGAGAATAAAAGTCCCCCCGAAATGGAAAACTTTTTTGTGGAGAGCCATATGTGATATTTTGCCAACAACCCTAAACTTGATATTTAAAAGGGTGGAGGTGGACCCAACTTGCCCTATGTGTGGTTTAGAACATGAGGATGTGTTGCATGCTTTAGTGCTCTGTGAATATTCTAGACTTGTTTGGAATATAACACAATTGCCTATTATTAATATTGTTGCAGACTCGTTTACAACATGGCTAAAAGGGGTTATGGCAGTCTTGACGGAGGAGCAGATCCGGGTGATGGTAGCAGTATTATATTATATTTGGAGAATCCGGAATTCAGCTGTCTGGAAGGGATCAATGATGCGGCCTACCCAGTTAGTCAGAGCAGCCACCGTAGCACTGCAGGCGTACGGCACTGCTCATGTTGGCCGAACCAACCCGACACCGGCGACGGACCACGTGAATGGTCCAGGAGGGGGTGGTCTACGATGTTATGTGGACGCGGGTTTCCGGCACGACACGGGCGAGGCTACTTACGGCATGGTAATTATAGCTCCAGATGGCTCGTTTGTGGCAGCAAGGAATGGCAATTTACCAATTTGTTTTTCACCACTTATGGCGGAGGCTCAGGCATACAAGGAGGCTTTGTCCTGGCTACTTGAACGGGACACCACATCAGTAAGTTTACTCACGGATTGCATGGAATTGGCAGCGATATTCAGGCACCATCATGCGCCGATACATTCGTACGTTGGGGTCACAGTTGACCAGTGCAGGACGTTTATGTCGTTATTTAATCGTATTACTTTGGATTATATTTCTAGGCAGGTTAATTTACATGCGCATACTTTGGCTACGTTAGCATTTACTCAGGATCAAGCTATGTACTGGGATGCTATCCCACCTGACACTATTGCGGCTTTGATTCATTAATACAATCGCAAGATTGACCTTCAAAAAAAAAAAAGATTCTATGCGCCGTTATTGGTATTATATTACATATTATTATATCTAATCTAATATCAAAACTAATAAATAATCTATTAACTATTAAATTATATCAATACACTAAGACTACGTGGTCTAATGGTACTTGGGTTGGACTTCCATTTAAAAGGTTGTGAGTTTGAGCTTCAGTGGAGGCAATTATATCAGATTGAGCTTTAATGAATTATTTTATTCTTTGCCAAGAACTTACTTTGTGCTCACTCCCATTCTTTGCCAAGAACTAACTTTGTGCTCACTCTCATATGAGAGGTCATGAGATCGAGCTTCAGTGGAGGTGTTATATATATATATATATATATATATATATATATATATATAATGATAAAAGTTTAGAAGATTTCTATAATTGAATCCATATCTATTTGTAACAAGAATATTTTTTTTTGTCCAAATGTAATGCAAAAAATTCAACAGAGAAAAAATACAATTCAAAATTTAATTATAAAATGACATTTTTGTGCATATTTAAATATAAAATTATTTACCAAAAATTCAATATTAATTCATTCTAAAATTTTATTTTCAATTGTAATTAAAACCAATCAATGAATTTTAAATACAATATTATCAAATATAAAATTAACAAAATATACAAAAAAAAAAAAAAATTTAAAAATTGAGCTTCAAAAGTTTAGGCATGTGCATGGCCTAGACCAATTTAGTGATGTAAATCTTCATACCCAAATCAACTTCAACCCTAAATCTTAAAAAAAAAAATTGTAGGCAAATATTTATTTATTTATTTAGGGTTGAAGTTGATTTGGAGATGAATATCTCCATTTCTTCGTGGAACTTAATAAGGGGAAGAAGAAGGAATCATCCCAAATGAGATAAGGATAATAAATTACTATTAAGACCCTATTTCTAACTGTCAACTAACATAATTTTTAACAAATGACTAAATTGTGTAAAACCATAAAATTGAGGACGAAATTGACCACAAAAAGTTATTTAGGACTAAATTGAGTAAAAACACAATAGTCGAGAACTATATTGGGTATTAACTCTATTAAAATATATCAGTACATCTTACGAATTGATATTGGTTGTATTATTATTTTTTGTTTGATTTTAGATTGTGGATACTGAATTGATATGATATGATATACTATAACAACAACAACAACAATAAAACATTAATTTGCTCTGAGACTCAGCGTAGTAACTCATTGCTTGACTTGAAACTACAATTGAAAGCTACAGTACGTGTAGGGGGTTTAAAGAGTCTAGGATAATATAAGGTATGGTGAATTGAATTCCATATGCATAATGAACAATAGGGTTTGACCAGTAAATTGATTGTGTGTGACAGAGACAAAAATTACTAAACGCTTAATTTTGCAAACACTTTTTTTATATATATATATATTTTTTTTATGAACAAGTGAACAAGTAATATTATCGATTGGTAAAAACTACTAATGCAATCTACCTACTATATACTAATTAATAGCTTACCAATTAATCTGCTAACTACTACGGAGTAATTATTAAACTAAACTAAACCTATTTGAAAAAAATCCCAATACAATTTAAGTGGGTGTTATCCCATTAATTTTCTTCTTTATCAAATAGCTAGGTCGAACTTCAATGCCCTTAACAATGAGACCAGACTTGGTATAGGGGGTTGTATTCCAAAGTCGTATTTCGACCTCACCTTCATTTGTGGAACTAATGAAAAAATCTCCGAGTTTAATCTCCAACCACCAATCATGGCGACATTTTCGAAACTGACCAGGGTCATTAGAAGAAAACCTCTTTTTTGTTAAAAATACTTGAGAACGTCGATTCTCACTATAACTTCTTTTATCTCTGATGTATCTCACGGATGTGAATGCTGTAGCGAGCCTTTTGGCATCGGGTTTAAGTTTGAAAATAAGGTATGCAGAGTAAGAAGTCATTTTGTGCAGGAACTTGGTGTCCAACGTTCCTTTGATCTCGAGCCAGAAAACGTCCAGAAGTACTGCAACCTCATCATATCTGCACACGTTGGTTGTAAAGGGGAATTATATATATACAATTCTTTTACATAAACCGGTCAAATTAGAGAACAAACAAAAATGGAGAGATTAATGCATACCCGGAGACACGACTCCAACTCCAACACTCAGGATTGTGGTCGTTTAGGATGTCGAGTCTTCTTGCTTCCAGGAAAACATTCTGCATAGCAAAAGGTAGATTTGCAGATTTGCTTTTACAGTTGGTCAAGATCGATCACAAGAGGTAGAATAATAATATATAATAAAACGGAAATAAAAAGCTTTAGTGTATGTAGGTGGAATCACCGTAATATCTTCATCATTGTCTTCTGCAAATGAGTGACAGAGAGGGAGAGAGACCTGAGTGAGTGTGGAATGTTGATCTTCGTCTTTTTCGATCAGCATACAAAATAGGAATAAAGGTGGAATTATTTAAAGCATGTAGGAAATAAAATGCCACATTTTGGAAAATATATAGATCAAACCAATTACTGCAAGGGAGAGAGAGACCTGATTGAATAGTGTGGAATTCAAGAATCTGAAATCCATATTCTTCTCTGTAGCACTCACGCTGCTCTTCTTCAATCACCCTGGCAGAAGTCACAAGGGAAGCATGGCAATGCTCCAACTGAACTGACTTCAGATTACTAAGGTTTTCAATCCAACGTGGCATCTCTTTCAACTCAAAGCAATTTCTCAATACCAAGCGCTCAAGCTTTGGGAAAGGATGAACATCAACATAATCGCCCAGCTCCCAATGCTTCAAATCCATTACAGAAATTAGCAAAAGCTTCAATTCAGGGAACCCCCTCTCTACACTTAGTTTCCAGTCTTGTCCCAAACAGGCATGATTCTTAAGTTTTAGCACCTCAAGCTTGGGCAGCATACTCATAACGTTCATAGCTTCCCAGGGCAAGAGAGTTTTTGCAAAGGTAATCTCCTTGAGGTTTTGTGGAAAAGTATAAGGCTGCAGTAGTTTTATGGGACAATAGCTGCCCTGAACTTTTAGCTTCTCCAGCTTATTTAAGCAGTTTAGATCATTTAAACAACGGTGGCAATCGCATCCTTGGGCGATTACTCCCAACTCCTTAACATTTGGAATCCTCAAAAGCACCTGCTTAGTGCACTGAACGCATTGCAACCAGTACATTGTTTGCAGATTTACTTGAGCCACTTCTGGAGTGTACATTGGAATTAGCTGATGGTATAACTCAAGGTGCCTTAATTGAGGCAACTCCCACATTCCACGAGGTAGCTGACAGACGCCATTGATATCTTCACGAATAATAAGTGTTTGCAGATTCCAATTCCTGCTCACTGGTATGGAGGTGAGCAGCCAGTTTGAGGATAAAGCTAGATATCTGAGAAGAACTACTTCTATAATATGTGAAGGTATACTTCCATTGTAGTCAACTACAGTTAAGTCCAGCACTCTTAACATCTTAAAAGAGTAGGATGTCATCTCATAACCATTGGCTATATAACTTATTGCCCAATCAGAATCGTTCCATTTACGCATATCAAAGCACAAAATGGAACGGGATTTTTCCAAATCAGTTAAGCAAAGAGAACCTGCTATTTTAAGACTTAACCAACGATTTCCATCTGATTGAACAAAGTAACTATTTTCACTCCTAACTCTACTGCACAGAAGTTTCTCAGTTTTAGCCTTGCTTGCACACAGCTCATGCAATAGGTCATGCATCTTACATGTTTCAACTTTTCCATTACTGTTTCGCTCACTTACCATAATCAGGCTTCTATTGATAAGATCCTGCAAATAATCTTCACCTGATTCTTCTAACGTCTTTTCACTCTCTTCTTTTACGAATCCCTCCGCAATCCATAACCTAATCACTTTTTTAATTCCAATCTCACCATCTTCAGGAAAAACTCCTAAATATAGAAAACAACTCTTCAAATGGCAAGGTAAGTTTTTGTAACTCAGACTCAGTATTCTGGAAAATTGTTCAGACAGATCTAAATTCACCAATGAGTTTAACATTGATTCAACACTCTTCCACTCATCTACTGCCATATTGGCGGATAGATGTCCTGCTACCACCACAACTGTAAGTGGTAATCCTCCACATCTCTTAACAATTTCCCTCCCTATCGTTTCAAATTCTTTGTTCAAACTTTGTCCTGACAAAAACTTTTGACAAAATAAATCCCAACTTTCTTCAAAATTTAAGAAGCGTATGTCATGTAAATTATCTGAAGAAGCAGCATAATTAGATACCTCTTTGAGTCGAGTAGTCAATAGTATTTGACTGCCAGTGTTTTCATCTTCACTTGGAAAGCATCCCTTGACATCATCCCATGCGCCTTCAGTCCATATGTCGTCCACAATAATTAGATATCTGTGGCCCAGTAAACCTTTGCGCAGTTGTGCTGCTAGCTCACCATCGTTCATAGTGTTAATGTCATCACGCATTGGCATGACGGAACGACACAGTTGAAGGAGCACATGCCTCTTATTATGCTCTTGAGACATGGTTGCCCAACCACAACGGTCAAAGTGACGCTTCACTGCAGAATCATTAGCAAGTTTTCTGGCAAAAGTCGTCTTGCCAATACCTCCCATACCTACAAAGGACATAACTTGCAATTGTTTATTTGAGGATAGAAGCTTTTCCTTGAACTCCTCGAATTCTTTGACTTGCCCTACCATGGTGTCTTCTTCAAATTTTGAAGCATGTAGTTGGGAGGATGATAATTGACCACCAGACGATGAACTCCACTCCAGATATAGAGTTCGCAAACCTTTTCTTCGAAGTACTGCAACCTCAATCATCACGATCAGATGTTCAACATCTTCAAGTACGCGCCTCAAGGTTACATCCAGCTTCTGCCGCTGATGAATCTTTACTAGCCCTTCGTTTTTTTTAAGGAAATGAATCCTTACTAGCTCTGCTTCAATGTCATATTCTGCTTCGAGAGCTACTCCTCTAATTCTTGCTATCAGATCGTTCGGATCCTCCCAATTGTGGGCTTTCTTCTCAGATTCGTCAAGAAACGTTTGCAAAAAGGTAAGTTTTTTGCAGAGAGAGGGGATAAGTTGTTTGTCATTTAGAATGAGACGTGGATTGGGTTGCAGGAACTCAATCTCTAGTGTTCGCATTAAACTAGTTAGTGCAACACAAGCCATGACGGACTCTTAGCTTCAATACCCAAAGTGCAAAAACCTAACATCACAAGTTCAATACAATATCCATAAATTTTCCAACATAATCAATAAGTTCAAATCAAGGTTATCTTTCTCAACATAATCAAAACTTGAAATTAGCACAAAAAACTCTAGAGACAAGTCATTATATTCTACAGTAAACCATAAGAATTCACAAACAATTCACAAATAAAATAAGGGAAAAATTCACAAATAAAATTTAATGATATTGCAAAATAAAAAATATCGAAACCAACCGGCCAGACTGGTTTTTCAAAAGTTTCTGTTAGAATTTTTAGCTAAAAATGGCATTTTAAGTGACTATTTTGTTGTACAAATATATGTGGGATCCACTCCCGATTTGGATCGGGTCAAAATGGATTCGGGTTCTTCGTAGTGAGATGAAGGATTTGATATAATGTACGCTCAAAATGAATAATAGGTGAATGAGAAATTGATTATCAAAGTGAACCTATTTGAGAGAAGTCAAAACTTAAACTAGGTGCTAATTAAAATTAGCACGATTCGTAACCTGTACGAAAGTTGGGCTTAGGTGGATTAAGCTTTAATTGAAAGCTTAATTTTAAATTGGGACAAATGATGCTGGACGAAAGTTCATGCTTTAAGTTGGAGTTGTGAGCTCTTTCGTGTTCTTCTGCTCTCCGATCTTTTCGTGAGCTACTTTCGTGCATGTTGCACTGTTCCAGTGCTTGCGAACCACTCGGGTGTAGTTTTCGGTCCCAATTTGTTAAACCTTCAGGTTTGTACGGACTTCTCGGTCGCTCAAATATTTTGAAACGGGTCGTTATGGTGGTACGAATTAATCGTGTATTAAGTTCGTGATCGTTGGTATTATTACAAGTACGATCGTTTCAAACGTTTTCATCCAATTATTAAATTTTGAATTTATGTTGGTTAATGTGCCATGAATAGGCTAATTAATCCTTTTTCCCCTACAAATTCCTTGGATGCTTGGCAGATAGTTTACAACATCAGATTGAAATCTCTCAAAACCTTTTGTTTTCTCTCTACTCTCATCTCGTTTACAAAGGGAAATTTCTGCCAACATCTTCTGAAAAACATCGGAGTGCTCAACTTGTGTTCTTGTTCGCCGGACTTTGGGTTTGAGTGCTCGAACGCCAAAGTCGTAGTCCGTTTTATCCTGGGAGACTGACGCCACAACGCTCCTAGCACCCTCGGGAGGTGGCGAATCGGTTTTAAGGAGAGTGTGTGTACACACGACTCGAATTTCTGCTTCCTCTACTTTCTTCTCGTTGGGTTAAAACCTCAGGTTAGAAATCCTTTATTGTTTTATCTTTTGTTCTTGGTTTCGTACCAAGTTGTGTGATTAATTTCGTGGAAATTAAGTTCCTTGTACTAGTTTCGTATTAGCTGTGGTGGGATTATTTTTTGATCAAATAAATCCCTATTGGTTAATATATATACGTTGTATATATATGTAGTTTTGGTTTTGTACCAAAATTGGTTGAAATTAATTTTCTATAAATTAAATTCCAATTTTTGGAATAAATATATATATATTATATATATTTTGTGTATCGATTTATTCACCAATATCCAACAATCTTAAAACCGATTAATCTTTTGGTGAATAAAGTCGATGGCTCCCATTGTTGTTGAAAGTGGTAACATGAATGTTGCTCATGTGCACATTCAAATGGCCGGATTGGCAACGTTGTTGCACATTCCGAAACCTCGGTGAACTTTGGTTCAGAGACCGGTGGTGGCATCAAAGGGTATATCCCTACGATGAAGGTACATGGGACGGTACCTTGTGGATTGGTCGAAAGACCATGGAAATTCAAGATGTTGAATTTCGTAGGATGGCAACTTGAAATGTTGTACAACCTAATGATTCTCGGCATGTCATGGATCTTGACTGAGATGGTTCATAGTGGAAAGGAACATGAGTCTAATGCTCAAACCGTTAGCATAGTAAGGATTTGGAAATATTCGATTTTCCTATGCCTAAACTATGTTTTAAACGGTTTGTGTGACTCGTTGTGGGAATCTTTGGACCTGAAGTATAAAAGTGATGACGCTAAGGAAAAAATGTTTGTCATCAACCGATTACTTGAATACAAGATGGTGGATTCAGGGATTGTCCTAAGTCAAGTTGACGAAGGAACGATCGTGAGTGAAGCCTTTCAAGTGGAACCTAGTATCCATTTGTTGCCTTTGGGCAGAAAGGACTTCAAGAAGCAATTCTATGGAATATGCTTCAATTGTGGCATTATGGGCCACAAGTGGACTGATTGTAAAGCACTTAAGAGGATGAATGATTATTCGGAATCTAATGTGGTGTGGGTCAATCAGAATGAGTCTGAAATCATCCTTTCGGCAATGGTGACCGAGGTAAACCTGGTTGGTTCGAACCAAACGGAATGGTTCATTGATAAGGGTGCGACCCGATATATGTGTTTCAACCGTGAGTTGTTTACTACCTTCGAGACGACTAATAGTGGGAATGTATGTATGGAAAACTCTGCTCAGTCTACTGTGGAAGGCATGGGCAAAGTGGTTCTCAAGATGACCTCTGGAAAGAGCTGACTCTGAACAACATTTTGTACGTACCGGAGCTACGGAAGAACTTAGTTTCTGGTTCATTGTTGAACAAGAATGGCTTCCGGTTAGTGTTTGAGTCAGACGAAGTTGTTTTGTCGAAATCAGGAATGTACGTAGGCAAGAGTTATGTGCTAGATGAGCTTTTTAAGCTTGATGCAATAACCGCGATTAATAAAAGCATTATTAATTCAGCCTGCTTACTTGAGTCTTCACGTTTGTGGCACGGTAGACTAGGTCATGTTAATTTTAATTCTATACATAGATTAATTAACTTGGACCATATTCCCGCATTTCAAGTTGATAAGCACAAATGTGAGATTTGTGTTGAGGGAAAACAAACAAAAATTCCTTTTAAATCGATTGAAAGGAAAACGGAACCACTTGAGTTGGTTCATAGCGATGTATGTGATTTTAGATCAATATAATCGCGCGGTTGTAATAAATATTTTATCACGTTTATCGATGATAGCACAAGATACTGCTATGTGTATTTGCTTAAGAGCAAAGACGAGGCTGTCGATAAATTCATTCTTTATAAGAACAAAGTGGAAAACCAACTTAATCGGAGGATTAAGAAGGTTAGAAGCGATCGAGGTGGTGAGTATGAAGCACATATTGGTGACTTCTGTGCAAGTGTAGGTATCATACACGAGTGTACGGCACCTTACGCACCTCAATCGAATGGTACGGTGTTGCCGAACGAAAAATCGTACATTGAAAGAGATGATGAATGCGATGTTGATAAGTTCGGGCCTAGCTCAAAGTATGTGGGGTGAGACGATTTTGAAAAGTAACTACCTTCTAAATAAGGTTCCCCGCAAGAAGCTCGATAAGACTCCTTATGAGATATGAAATGGTAGGAAACCCTCTTATCAGTACCTGGAAGTGTGGGGGTGTCTTGCCAAATTTTTGGTGCCAACACCTAAGAAAATAAAGATAGGTCCCAAGACGGTGGACTGCATCTTTATTGGCTATGCACATAACAGTAGTATGTATTGGTTCTTAGTACACGAGTCCTATAATCAGGACGTATATAACAACCGGATAATTGAATCAAGGAATGCATCGTTCTTTGAAGATGTATTTCCGTGTAGGTCTAGTGGGGGACATAGTACGTCGAAACGAACATTCGACGAGGCTGTGGATAATGGCAGTGGAGGGTTTGAGAAAGAACCCGAGCTCGAAGCTAGACGTAGCAAGCGAGTTAGGATTGAAAAATCCTTTGGTCCAGATTTTCTGACGTACTTGTTAGAATGTGATACGTATATTCTAACTTGTTTACTAGAAAATGAACCGGATTTTCTGACATGTTTGTTAGAAAACGAGCCTCGAACGCATGTAGAAGCTGTGACTTCTACGGAAGGACCAATGTGGAAAGAGGCTATAAAGAGTGAAGTGGATTCTATCTTACAGAATCACACTTGGGAACTGGTTGATCTTCCTCCGGGTAATAAGCCCTTGGGATCCAAGTGGGTCTTTAGACGAAAGTTAAAATCTGATGGTTCCATTGAGAAGTATAAGGCTAGGCTTGTAATTAAGGGTTACAGGCAACGCGAGGGCCTTGATTACTTCGACACGTATTTTCCCGTGACGAGAATAAATTCCATAAGGATGATTCTTGCCATAGCCGCACTGCGGAATTTGGAAGTTCATCAAATGGATGTGAAAACAGCTTTCTTGAATGATGAGTGAGATGAAGAAATCTATATGGAACAACACGAAGGGTTTGTGGTTCCGGGCCAAGAGAAGAAAGTCTGTAAATTGGTTAAATCGTTATATGGTTTAAAACAAACGCCTAAGCAGTGGCACGAAAAGTTTGACCATACGATGTTAACCAATGGGTTTAATATAAACGAAAGTGACAAGGGTGTCTACATTAAGGAAGCGATAGATTGTTATGTCATTCTTTGTTTATATGTGGATGATATACTCATCGTGGGTAGTAGTGATCGAATGATCAAATCTACCAAAGACATGTTAAATTCGAGATTTGACATGAAGGATATGGGTTTAGCAGATTTAATCATTAGGATTAGAATCGTGAGAAGACCTGATGGTCTCGTGTTAAGCCAATCTCATTATGTTGATAAAATCCTTGCAAAGTTTAACAAGGATGATTATCAAGTGGCTAGGACTCCATTAGATACTAACGTTATTCTGTCCAAAAATCGCGGAAGTGTATCTCTCAAGTAGAATACGCTAGGATTATTGGAAGTTTGATTTATCTAATGAGCTATACCAGGCCTGATATTGCCTTTAATTTGCGGTTAGCAAACTCAGTAGATATACGAGTAACCCTAGTGATGCGCACTGGAAGGCAATAGTGAGAGTTATGAGATACTTGAGGTATACTCGTGACTAGGGACTGCACTATACACGATATCCTGCTGTACTTGAAGGGTATAGCGACGCTAACTGGATATTGGATATGAAGAACTCTAATTCCACGAGTGGCTACGTGTTTACGTTAACCGGTGCAGCCATTTCTTGGAAATCCTCGAAACAAACCTTGATAGCTAGATCCACGATGGAATATGAGTTGATAGCCTTAGACAAATGTTGTAAAGAGGCTGAATGGCTACGCCATTTTGTGGAGGATATTCCTTGTTGGGATAGATATGTACATCTAATTAGTGTGCATTGTGATAATCAAGCAACAATTGGGAGAGTACAAAGTCATATGTATAATGGTAAGTCTAGACATATATGTCGAAGACATAATACCATCAAACAACTACTCACAACGGGTGTTGTCTCTATTGACTATGTGAAGTCAAAAGACAATATAGCGGATCCGCTAACCAAAGGGTTGAGCAAAGATGTTGAGAAGTTGGCACGAGGAATGGGTTTGAAGCCCATGGAATAAAAAGTTCTATAGTGGACACCCAACCTAGCTGGCACCTAGGTTCAATGGGACAACTAAATTATAGAACGAAGTGTGTCACTGTGGGGGTCTCGGACTCCTATCATTCCTCGTGAGAACAGTGACTCCCGCACGAGGTTAGCACGCAGATGCTTTAATGATTCGAATGTCGGTTGACATGTGTGAGTATGCAGGATACTCGGAAAAGAATCACCTATGTGAGAGAGAAGTAGGGTCACTTCAAAGGAGAATTGATGGGCTCAATTCTTTAGAAACTCTTGTAGAACCAGGAAGGTGACCCATGACCAAAACGGGCACACCCATGAGAACATAACAAAGGTTGTGAGGTTCTTGTGTGGGATATGTATCATCATCTACACAAACGGCAGTTGGTTCAAATACATCAAGTTCTACCATACAGCCAGTAGAGTAAACATATCTTCAAACGCAAGGTTCAAAGGGTAACACCTACCTATGCTATGCAGGGATCAACCGTTGAGCACATTCGTGTCGATTTTTCTTCGTCCCAAAAATCATTTTCATTCCTGTGGGGGATTGTTGGAATTTTTAGCTAAAAATGACATTTTGAGTGACTATTATGTGGTACAAATATATGTGGAATCCACTTCCGATTTGGGTTGGGTCAAAGTGGATTCGGGTTCTTCGAAGTGAGATGAAGGATTTGATATAATGTACGCTCAAAATGGGTAATAGGTGAATGAGAAATTGATTCTGAAAATGAACCTTTTTGAGAGAAGTCATAACTTAAACTAGGTGCTAATTAAAATTAGCACGATTCCTAACATGTACGAAAGTTGGGCTTAAGTGGATTAAGCTTTAATTGAAAGCTTAATTTTAAATTGGGACAAATGATGCTGGACGAAAGTGCATGCACGAATCAATAAATTGAAAGCTTAATTTCAAGCTTGAGTTTCATGCTTTAAGTTGGAGTTGTGAGCTCTTTCGTGTTCTACTGCTCTCCGATCCTTTCGTGAGCTACTTTCGTGCTGTATCGCTTCGGTCCTTGCGGACCACTCGGATGTGGTTCTCGGTCCCAATTTGTTAAACGGGTCGTTATGGTCGGTACGAATTAATCGCGTATTAAGTTTGTGACCGTTGGTATTATTACAAGTACGACCGTTTCAAACGTTATCATCCAATTATTAAATTTAGAATTTATGTTGGTTAATGTGCCATGAATTGGCTAATTAATCCTTTTTCCCCTACAAATACCTTGGATGCTTGGCAAATAGTTTACAACGTCAGATTGAAATCTCTCAAAACCTTTTGTTTTCTCTCTACTCTCATCTCGTTTACAAAGGGAAATTTCTGCCAACATCTTCTGAAAAATATCAGAGTGCTCAACTTGTGTTCTTGTTCGCCGGATTTTGGATTTGAGTGCTCGAACGCCAAAGTCGTAGTCCGTTTTATCCTGGGAGACTGACGCCACAACGCTCCTAGCACCCTCGGGAGGTGGCGAATCGGTTTTAAGGAGAATGTGTATACACAAAACTCGGATTTCTGCTTCTTCTATTTTCTTCTCGTTGGGTTAAAACCTCAGGTTAGAAACCCTTTCTTGTTTTATCTTTTGTTCTTGGTTTCGTACCAAGTGGTGGGATTAATTTCGTGGAAATTAAGTCCCTTGTACTAGTTTCGTACTAGCTGTGGTGAGATTATTTTTTGATAAAATAAATCTCTATTGGTTAATATATATACGTTGTATATATTTGTAATTTGGGTTTTGTATCAAAATTGGTTGGAATTAATTTTCTATAAATTAAATTCTAATTTTCGGAATAAATATATATTTTGTGTATCGATTTATTCACCAATATCCAACCGTTACCGGCCAGGAAATTATTTTAGTATCAGATGAACAAAAAAATAGCTATCAAGAAAAGTAATTTATGACTTTAAAAAAAAAAAAAAAAAAAAAAAAAAAAAAAAAAAAAAAAAAAGCAGAAACATACCTGGTAGGCAGCAAGAAAATGAAGAAGAGAAATGGAAAGGTTGACCAATGTTATTCTCTGATTGAAAATTAGAATTAATCATAATTAATTTTGTAACTAATCATAATAAACTCAACAATTTTCACTACATTGGAGATATAGCACAAGTTTGA